TAAACCCTTAGGAATAATTTGAAAATTAATATAGGCTGTTTTGTGGGTTAGACAATATATAAAGTATACATAGTATATATATATAAAGTAGCACAGTATGTTAAGCTGTACTTTTAAAATTAGCAGGTAGACTCCTAATATATTCACTCCTTTTAAATATTCCATTGACATTGAAGTATTTATTAGAAATTTTGTTTGTTTGTTTGTTTTGGATTAGATTTAGCATCTATTTACCAGTCTGCATCCACACACACTCCACTCTGTCTTAGGCCACTGATCACTTTAGAGAATGAGACAAATAACTTGAGTAAATTATTTGCTATTTCCTGTAAAGATATCTAATAATAGAACAATCCCAACATGCTAGGCACGACATGCTTAGGAAGGATGTAGTAAGACATTATTTTCAGCTGCTTCATTGCCATCACCCTCATTTACAGGACAATATTAGAATCAATTGCTGAAAACCATTAGGTTTATGCTGTTAAATGCAGGAGTACTTTAGTGCATCAGCCTGGCTAAAGAGAAGGCAGAGTTTCACTGCCGTTACATGGTTTGTGTTTATTGGCCCTTGGATCAATTGAACAAATGTTTGGGAATAATTTGCTGCTTTCTATAAATAAAGCAATAAATGCCACATGTTTGTTTAGGGAAATGAAAAGCTATTCAGGTCTCTTGTCCTATTTGTTATTTCTTTTAAAGTTGTCCAAGACTCTAAACTGACTTGAAATGATGATCATGTTTTCTGGCATTCCAGATTTCATAAATCATGGGATTTAATACTACAACTGTAATTTCTCCAAAGAAAACTTCAAGCCCAATGTAAATTCACAGCACCGTGAAATGATAGAAGAGATTAGGAAGGGTCCAAAAAAGTCTGTTACTGAGGAGCTATACAGTGTTTTTGAGAGGAACTGCAGGACTTATGAATTCCAGTCCCACTGGCTGCAGCTCCAGGGCCTGGGCAAGGAGGTTTTGTTTGACTTCTTGGATTAAGAATCAAAAAAACATCTCCATCTCCTCTCCTGTTCATGGTTAAGATTTTTTCTCCTGAACCAGAAAATTAATTATTGCCTTAAAAAATCAGTGCCTGGCTAATTGCTTAAACCTTGTACCTGTACTTGCAGGTGTGATTTGGGCTGCACTAAGGGCTATAGATCAGATTTGGTTTTAAACCTTTTTGTATACTCAAGTTGACCAGTATTAAAATGGAACATTTTCTCCTAGAAATTGAATTACTCTCAACAATGACAGAAGATCTGGTCTGGGACTTCCTAGAAAACTGTTAGATGGTCTTTATTGAGAAGTCACTCCTTCTTTTTGTTAATTGGTACGTTATGCAAGAAAAGAAAAAAATGAAAGCAAAGCCACTTCCCTGTCAGGTACCTTAACACTGCAGGTGGAGTTTGACACGAAATGGAAGATGTTATTGATTTAAAGAACACAGAGAAGAACAGATCATTTTATGTTCACAGTAAATGATGAAACTATTTAGCTAACTGTTTTCAATTTGCACCTTCAGTATCTTTGCGTTAGTAGCCAGGAGGTTATATTGGAGAGAAAATAAGAATACTTTGGAAAAATCAGTAAGGAACAAATGGAGCATGTATATTATTAGGGAAAAACACTCTTACATAAATTGAAATACAATTCGAGAACAGAAAGTTCTGAGAGAATGCACTAGGAAACTGCTACAAAGCAAATTTAAAAGTGTGTGGACAAACAAATCTGGTTAAATCAACACAGCCCTATGTATTGAAACCAACTGCAAAAGTTGGATTCCTTCCTTTTCATGTTAATGCTTCAGCTCCCAGATTCCCAGCATCTGTATTTGCCTGTACTCTCCAAAAAGTTTGTTCTGTTTTTGACAGACCACCACGTGACTTTGTTCTGAAGAATTTAGAAGCACTCACACGTATTTGCATAAAGCACTTTGTGTAGGAGAGCAGGTCTGGGGCAGCGTGTGGTCTCTGCCGGTGCTGCAGAGGAGCCAAAGCTGCCTGTGGGCACAGCCAGAGATGCCAGGACAGCTTCTGGCACTGGCTGCTCCTTCTTGGAGCCAGTACCACTCTCATCCCCTTGGCTCTTCACCCCACTGATATTGTGTAAAGTTTTTGGGGGTTTTTTTTGGCAACAAAATCCAGTTTTCTCAGCTATCCCCTTAGAGTAATGGGATTCTGTGGGATTTAGGCAGTAGCTCACCAATACCACATAAGTTACCACTACCTGAAAGTGTTATTGTCTGCATACAAACAATGCTACAAACCAGGAGCATTCAAACTGCCTTTTACAGCTGGAGTACATGGCTTAGACACTGCACAGAAGCGATGCACAGGATGGCACACACTGCAACACAGACACACTTGAAGGTTTCAGCAATTAGAAGGCTTTTTGATGTTATCTTGATGCATACAAATTGATATCATAACATTGATTTAGTAAAACACATTTTGGGATGAAGAAGATCTTATATAAATAATTACATTATTTTATAAGTTATTCCTCTCATACACTGTGAAAAATTTTGAAAAGGAAAAGGAAACATGCATAGAAGGAAGACAATATGAAAGATTTCTACCTGCTGTTGAGTTAGCCATTGATTTTTCTAACTGAGAATAGTCTTTTCATAGTTACTTATTACCAGGCAACCACAAAGGAGTTTGATTCAAGATCCACTACAGTGAAGAGGGGAAAAAATCCCAACCCAGCCTTGGTTTTGTTAGTTTGTTTTTTTAAGATGGAAGCTTTAAGTTCAAACAGATATTTTTGTGTTACATTGCCAGGCAGCATAACCAAGCAATTTGTTTATGTGAACCAGGTTTATTTACAGATTTCACTGTCACCAAATCTAGTAGAGTAAATGAACTTTAAACCTGGGAAAATGCAGCTGAGAGCAGAGATTACTTTCTCCAATAATTATTCAGAAGCATTTGATTGCTTAAGGATCTTTAAGCTCAAGAGTCAAACATTGCTTCATACAGAAGCAAAAGTTGTTTTATATACCCGTAGAAGAACGTTTTATTTATTTTAAACAAGGAAAACACTCACCAGGTCTGCCCTCATGGTTCCTCAGAATCCTCCACCACCACACAAAAGCATTCTTTACAAGCCAGTTCTTGCATGGAGTCAACTGCTTTTTTTCTTGCTGGTATTTTGCACTGTGGGAAACTACCACTTCATTATACAGAAAGATTTTAAAAAAAAAAATCAACCTAGCATCCCAACATTAGGTTGTTGAATAATTTGCACAGAAACAAGCTTCAAATACAGATGTAAGAGGGCTAAGAGGACATATTCCTCTTCCAGCCTGCTCAGTCAATGGGGTTTATGGTTTTTCTTTAAAAAGCTGCTGTAGCTGCAAGAAATACTCTTCTTAAAGCACTAACAATCTCAATCCCCTTCGTGCTTCACTGAGACCTGTTGCACAGGATCTGATAAATGCTATATTCAGCACCAAATCTCTGGGCCAGGAGATTACTCAAGTAATATGTACATAAATATGTACCTATTTAGGGGCTGTAACATAAAATAAATTCAGTTATTCCGGCTACTGTTAAAGTGCAAATAGTGATTAATCAGCTGATTCCTAGAACTTTTTAGAAAATAAAGTTGGATCCGCACAGTTTTAAGATCTCTCATGAGTTTTAACATCCATCAAGATGTCAAGTGGCTGGCTGTATTTATTTACACTGCATTTTTGAGGTAAGACTATTTTCTAATCAGTTGCTCATGTTATATTTAGGATACATTCATGATGATTCCAGATATAAAATAGAAAAGGTCCGTTTTGAAAATACCTCAAAAAAGTTGCCACCAGCCACTGGACCACTAATTATTTTCTACAGATTAAGTTCTAGCAAAAGAAGTTTACTATATTTAAAACCCTGAGCTGTAAATTCTGAGGAAACAGAATCATGCCATGTCTCTCAAATAGGAAGATTTACTTACAGTTCAGCTTCTTTTCTGCCACAAGGTAGAAGACTGACGAAAAAACCCTAACAAATACACAGCTTTTAACTATAAACACCATTTGAACCATCTTATTTTTAAATTTAAAAATCCTTAGAAAATCAATTTAATGCCAAACAGAAAGATACATAAACATTTCAGCTCATTTATGTATTTCCAGTGGTCTTTGGTAGACTACCAGTGGCAAGACTACAAGAACTTCCAGTATGTGTCTTCCTATCTGAGCTCTGCAAGGAAGGATGGTAACCACAGTTTACAACACACTTCAGTAACATCAGCTGTGCTTCAGGAGCTGCTAAACATGGATTTTAGCTGAAAGTAAATCAAATTAACTCTTGCATGGTTCTACACCACCCTCTCAGCGTGGCAGCTCTGAACAGCTCCTGTCCTGCAGCTCGAGCACTACCCCGAGGCCAAGTTCGGAAAATAAAAAAAAAGGATCCTTCCACAAGCTTCCTATGTATTGTGAGGGGGAAAGTTGGAGAAAAATCATACATTAAGAACCCTCTTCATGCATGTACATTCTTGCATTTATTCTCAGGCTTACAGACTCTGCTCCAGCTCTCCTGGAAGGAAAAAGAGCAGACCACGGCCACTTGAACAAAGTCAGCTTCCAAACTCCAGGCAGAGGGGCCCAGCACTGAGCCGAGGAAGGACCCAGATCCTACAAAAAATGTTACACAGCTCCTCGAGTAGCTGTTTCCACAGTGCTGTGAAGGGGAAAACAGGGTGTCAAGAATGGTGATAAACTGCAGTAGTTAGATTAAACATTTATTTTTCGTATATTCACAAAATCTTCACAAAAGTATTGAAACTCAAAAAGGAATTAGACTTGAGTCAAATACAGAGATGAAATGTACAAGACAAATGAGCAGGCAAACTAAAAGGTCTTGAAAGTATTTTACTTCAGATTGAAAAATGAACAGTTCAACTGTTCCGTTTAAATAAAGATTTGCAAGATATACAGTATTTTATGAATACAATGCTGGTCATTTGAGGCAATGTAAAATACCTCAATTATTCCTTCATGCTTTTTTTTTTCTTTTTTTTTCTTTTTTTTTTTTTTCTTTTAGAAAGATACTGTTTACCAAAAAGAAACTTGAGCAGTCCAGGAAAAGCTATTTTCCATTAAATTTATGAAAACCATAAATTGAGGCAAACCTAAGATTCCCAATGGAATCAAGATTATCTTCCCGCTACCACCACCTTAAAATTATCACATGCTTATTGGAACACTAATATCTGCACCCTAAGAGTACATTTGCTTTCAACAATGAGGGTGATTCTTTTAAAAACACTTCAGTGTGGTAAATGCGATACAGATCTTTGCAAGTATTAAGTTTTGGAACAGTTTTGCTAATAGCAGCTAACAATACTGGATTAATATAATTTATAAATAATTGTTCCCTAAGCGGTGAACATAAGTCTACACATTCACAATAATCTAAAACAAAATAAATACTTGACTATGCATAATGTGGTACAACTTTTACTAGCTTCTATGAACAAAAGCCGAACATCTTCTTGATAAAATTATCTGATCAAATTAAAATATGAATCTAAAAATTAAAAAAAATTGTCAAATTAACATCACTTAAGCTTAGTGTTGGAGTAAATGTTATGACTTTCTGTATTTTTGGAATATATATATTTTCCTTTTTGAAGTAAAACACTTTAACACATTGAAAATGTTTATTAATTTAAGTGATAACACCAGTTCTGGTCTTATTTTACTTTAAAAATCATTGCACTCATAAGTGCCCATTAAAGGTCAGGTTGGTCTGTAGTATACTGTAAATGTATATGAAAAGAGTTTCTCAAAGCTAACAGTACTTTTTATAAAAGCATCATCTCAGAACCGCTGCATTAAATACAGCCACGTACGCCAAGTACAGACTTTCCTCTTTAACAAAATATGTGAAAGTAAATGCCACTTAACTCTCCACCACCCAAGTGTCCCAACTCCTGTTCCAAGCTATGCCTGTGAGTGCAATTACGATTTCATTCGCAGTCATGGCATCAAAGGTACTGCAACCGAGACTTGTAATGCGACTGAACCACACAAATGTGGAGTTTAAATGAAATGCTGACTAGGTCAATGAAGAAATATGATGAGATATGAAAGGTTTGGGTCTTTAAGGCAATACAAAGTATATTTCATTATTTGAAACGGTTGTTTTGTTTTTTTTTAATAATTAAGTGTAAATATAAAAATGCCTAAGAGGGGAGTGAGAAAAAAATACTTTAATTGTAAAATTTACTTAAAGCTTCAACAGTTATCATCTCCTACAGGAGTTAGCAAAAATATAAAAGACAAAAAAACCCAGACCTGGAAGGGGGAGGAAAGGCACAAACAAGGAGGCATGGGATTAAAGCAGCCCAGGAATGCAAACATCTGTAACAAACTGAGTGTCGTTTTGTGTTTTTTAAAACCAAAAAGAAAAAGAAGAAAACAATCACCACCACCAATCAAACGAAAAAACCCCGAGTGGTCCTAGGTTGTTTCTTTAAAAAAAAGAAGAAAGGGTGGAGGAGAGACCACTATGGGGAGGAAGAGAAGGATGCAACTATAAAACCCCATTGCCTGAAATGATGGCACTCTAGAAAACAAGGTGAAGGTTACTTCTCCGAGATGACAAGCTCAGTGTCTACACAAAGTACATGTACACTTTATACAAATGAAAATCTTCATTTGCCACCATGAACCTTTCTGTCAGAGGAACAGCTTTTGCAGATCAAATGTTCTATTAGATCTTTCAAATGCCAAGAAAAGAAATTCTGAGCAATATAACTAGTAATGTCTCTTTATATGGATGTTAAGATGACAATTCAGATTATTTTCCAAACTAATCCTGAGAAAAATTTATGTTTACAATTTAAACAGTAATGTTATGTAAAAAGTATTAACAAATCCACTATTACAAATGTCAGTTTTCCTATATGGTCATCTATATATACACAATAAAATGGTAAGTATATGCAAAAATAATTAAAAAATCATGCACAAATTACTTTCACCTTTAAAGGCTGGGTTTCCCTCAAAATACAATTTTTTGCCTTTTTTTTCCTATTTTTTTGTGTTTTATTTGTTTGTTACCACCCCCTAGACACACTGAGTACTACCTCTACAGGTCAGCATGAGCTGATGGGAATTACATTTATTTTACATTCAAGCTTTTATATCCTAAATGACCCTGTTGTAGCATATGACTTATCAAATGAGCAGCCTTTTTCCTCTTAAAAAAATTTTTTTTTCCTTTTTTTCTCCATTTTTTTCCTTTTTTTTTTTTTTTTCTTGTTTTTTTTCTGCAGTGATCAATCTTCATGTTCCGTTCCGTGGCGAGCTGGGAAAAAAAATGCAGTTGCTAATCTATGTCTGAACAGTCTGAAGCTCCAGAAGAGATCCAAGGAGTCACTATCAAACTATCCTGTAGCATGAGATCATTGCACACAGAAGAACAGTCATAAAGTAGGCAACTATCTACAAAGGTCTGACAGGGCTGCATCTCTCTTGTGTTTCCTCTTTTTGCCGTGGAAAAACTGATGGTGTGATTTGCTGCCTTGATGTTGTTTGTTTGTGACTGAGGTACCGTGGCTTGAGTTTGTTGGACCTTGGAAGCCTTTGTTGGAAGAGCGAAATAACCGTGCAGATCCATGCTGTAACAGAAAGAAAACATGGTAAATCCATGATAAAGGGGAAAAAAGCGTGGCAATCACACATCCCTGCTTCTGGGTAATGAGGATGTTCACTTATGAAAACCTTGCACTTGAAAAGCTTGCTAGGGCAGGAGGAGCCTGGCCATTGCTGAGACAGCAGCACAGCACTGCCCATCTTCCACTTTGGTGACTGATAACAAAATGTTCATCTCTAGAGCCAAAACTATGCAGGTCCAGAGAAAAGAGCAGAGCACTTGGAATTTTGGAAAGGATAGAACCGTTCTACTGTTTTACAGAAAAGTAAATCCATAATCCAAGACAGCAGAGGAAGGTTGCTCAAATCTCATCCAGGATTAATTTTACACCACATCTTTTTAGAGATACAGGGTGTCTCAGATTGTGCACATTCACATTCCAGCCCACAATTAGTTCTGCCTAATAACACAAACACACACTAATGGCATAGGCAAGGCCCAGTCTGTGAACTGTCTCATTAGAAGCTAGAGAGAGATCATTAGCAAGGAGAAGGCATGTCTTTAGAATTATTTTCAGGAATAATATTCCAGAAGATTTCAGACTATTTTCAAACATAAAAGTCCTACACTGTGTCCAAGAATAAAATTTAAATGGAAGATATCCAAAGTATATTGTATTTAGAGAGGTATATAATATTTCCAGAATACTGAGTTGCCATGGAAGCATTCTTAACATGAGAAATCCCCTTAATGCACAAGCTCTGGTAGGTGTCATCATAAAGATATTTATCTATAGGGGGAAATGAGAGGGGATTTCATGTGTCAGCAAAGAATCTTAACCTCCCTTAACGGAAGGCAGCTCAACAAGTATCAACAGCTAACAGAGCAGCCAGAGTTTTAAACATATATTTTAGCTAACTGTCTTTCACTGAGGGTAAGTTCTCAAATTCTCTAGTCAAAACTGGACTGACATGCTTTTTGCAAAGAGGAAATGGGTGCAACACAGCTCTATACTTCTGGCAAATCTAGATGTCCCTAAATAAAGTCAGTCCAATTTCACCTGCTCTAGGGCTGGGAAAGCCACAGATGGAAATTCATCTGTGCAAACTAAAGAAAGAACCAGGTGATTTTAGATAAAAATCAGTGCTGAAAACCTTTTAGTGGGGTAAAGGGGAGGTGAAAAACACAGCATTTCCTTTCCAGAACAAGCTACCCTTCCGTGGGGGAGATGTGTAATATTCAAATAATCTAGACAGATGTTTTCAAACATTCCACAAACCTGAGATTTGTTCGTGTTGCTGGATGTATTGGCTGTTTGGCTATTTTGTGTTTTCCCACTCGACTGGGAGGATTCCAGTGACACTTCTTGTGACCCCACTCTGTTTGTGGTAGACTGACGACAACTCAATTGTTTAGAGGTTTTGCAAGGTGTTCCATCAGAATCCTTCAGGAAAATGTAAAGTATTAGTGAGTTTTTCTTAATAGTAAGTTTTTCTGCAAGTGACTTTTCCTTTAAAAATAAAGCTAACAGTGGACAAAACTTAAAATATGTTTAATAGATATCAAAATTCTTTCAATCCAGAATTTTTACTGAGTAAAACAGATTTAAAAAATTATTGATGTGTGATTCTGATTTTGAGATTTGCCTTTTATTTTATTTTTTAAATAGAATTCCGAAACAGATTTTTTTAAAGCTTTTTGCTTTTATTGTTTTTTAAAGCATGTGGCTTGGAATTACCAGTCTTTTTTTTGTTGTTTTTGAAATACCATTTTCCCAGAGAAAAGAGAGCTATGGAACTTAATATCTACTACATTTACTCTCTACATGTATTGTGTCAAAAACACACTGCAACTTATATGTGTAGAAATTGCATAAGAGTTAACATCTTATGCAAGTTAGGATTCTGGATGAAATAACTAACTAGGACTCCAAGCTTCTAAAATGTATTCTGTGGCAATCCAAATCAGGGGGGGAAAAACTGAAAAGAAATGAAAAAAAAAAAAGTCAGAAAACCTCCAGTACTTACTACATCACTAGAGCTGGACAGTGTAGATGATGATGATGATAAAGGACCTGATGAAGAATTTGAAGAATGTTTACTAAGTGTTTCTGAAGTTTTATTTCTAGGTTTTCCCAGTGCTTCATTCTCTTCAGCAAGGTTATTGTTGCATTTGTCTAGCTGCTGAGTATCTACTATCAAGGTTACTCCATTACCTAGCAAAAACAAAACAGAAGCATCACCACACATTAACTGCTAAAGTATGTTGCCTTGGGTTTTTATAACATACCCACTAAGATACATAAAGGCTGTTCCATCCTGCAGGACATGCCCACCAAACACAGGCAGACACAGTGAGGGTGTCCATGAGCACACTCTGCAGGCAGCACCTCGCAGAGGGCGTGGTGGCTTCCCTACAACATCAGTAATGCACACTATGAAAACCTGGGCACTGCCCACGGTTCAAGATGGGAATTAGAGCAATAACACACAGAAGAAGGCAGTAACAAAGTTCAGATGGGCTGCTTTAGATTGTTTCCTGCCATGCTTCAACAGTATTTAAATACATAGGTTTAAATTCTGTTCCTATATGCCCAATACTCAGGAACTCCCATTTTTCTTCTGTTGGAGCTGATAGGATCAGAAGAACTCTAAATAAGTCTCATTGCTTTGTATGAATTCCTACACTGAAGGTAAAACATACAGAACTCTCACATCTCACTAACTTCTGCCTTAAATAAAAAAAAAAGAATTGGAATTTAAATGCAAACTAAATCTACAAGACAACCACCGTAACTGTCACCATTACCTGCCTGACATGGGGTTATTTTTATTTTATTAATTGCTGTTTTATCTCACATAAGACACTTAGGAGTTCCCTCTGATTTACATAACATACATTTGTTGCCCCACTAGCTGTATTTGCATGGAGGTAGCTAATAGGGAGCTAAGGATTCCTTGCAGGATTGACCAGCAGTTCTCTGCCATTCCTGGGGGCACAGCAGGGCCACAAGGGCCTGACAGAACACAAATGGCCCAGAGCACATTTAACTGACAGGTACAGTGACAGAAATCACTAACACGGGTTTTAAAAACAAATAAACAAAATCCCAACATTGGGGAAAGACTGGGTAGTTGCATCATGTACTCTGATTAATCCCTAACAAGAGAAGACTTGTAGTAGGCAACACTCTAAAATTAATTGGAGACTATTAAAATTAACTTTAGTTTGAAAACTTCCAGACAGCAGATACACCTACACCAAAAGTGGCAACTAACTGCTGAAGTCAGAAGATGGGCAATGGATTAAAGATGATTTTAAAAGACATTGTGACCAAGTTGTCTGCATAGGCTTTGTGTTTCCATTTGTTAAAAACAAAAATAATGATTGATATTTCAGGATTTTCCTGTTTAAAAGACTTATTCCACTTATATGGTCAGTCTTGGATTAAATATTAATTCTGTACACATATGTTACACTTTAAAATGAAAAATAAAAGAACAGAAGGTTATTATTTAGATTTAAACTAGCATTCCCAGTAATTCTTTTTAAAACCTTGTCCACATTTAAAGGACAAGAAGTGTGAGAGTGACAACATGGTAATTTAAATTGGAAGCTTTTCCAAAGTCTCCTTTTGGAAGGCAGCACTCTGTACAGAGCTCTCTATTGACCAAATCTATCGCAGTAAAGACGAGGCCATTTTACTCTTGTACAAATCTAACTTTTCTGGATGAAATGATGAGAATACTGAACAAAAAAAGGAAATTCCTACTAAGATGTGCACATTGCCTTATGTGAGGCAAAAGCAACAATAAAATCTGTATGATCAAAATGTGCAGGAAATTTCCCAATCTCAGCCCAGCTGAGTCAAAACTTACCATTACACGAAGACTCTGTCCTGCTCTGCATTCCCCACTGCTTGGATATCCAGTCTCTGTATGTGGCCACCTCTTGTGTTACTCTAATTATTCTCCCTAATATACTGCAAAACAGGAAAAATACAAAACCATCAGCACAATTAATTTTTAAGACACACAAAAATATAAGCAATTAATGTCTGAGATTTAGACATGGAGAATTTACCTTTCTGTTTCGTTGTTAGGATAATATTTAGCTATTGGGGAAACTGCATGGCTCAGAACAACATAGGCATAATCAAAAGCCTGTTTCACTTGCATGGCACCGTAGGAACTCCTCCCAACATCATTACCTTAAAATAAGAACATAAATAAATAACATTGAAACTGTGTTTATCGCCTTTCAGACAGGAGACAGCAGCATTTTTTTAAAATTGCCTTGAAGTCCCAACTAACTGCAATTACCTGTTGTAGAACAGGATTACTGAAGCATAAATATTTGAAAGAGCTTAGAAGATCTATAGATATTTACATGCACAAAAGTCCAAAACAGCAATTCTCTGGGTAAAAGTGCAATACATGAAGGAAAAAAAAAATTAATAAATTACAACAAATAATTAAAATCCTGTACTGCATATATTATATGTATAAAAGTAATGTCCTGGGTGACATTTTTCTAGATCAGAAATGTGTTAACACTCTTCTTGAAACTGCCCCTGACTCGCCGCTTCAGCAGCCACCTGTATTCCGAGTTTGTCTCGTGTTCCTACACATGAACAAGATGTTTCTGTTTGGTTCTTGGTGGTCATTCCATCTATCTACAGATATACAGCTGTATATCTAATTCTTTGATTTAACTCCCCCAGATTAAGGACTCCCCCAACCTTTCTTTCGTACTCCATGTGTTAAGTCTTGCTTTGTGAGGGTACCTGGCTGTAAGGGATCCTCGATATACAGCATTGATGGTCTGTAGCCATCCAGCATGCTCTTCTGCACTTCATCCTTGGCAACGTAAGAGCCACCATCCTTTATTCGGATTCCAGTCTTCAGATAATTGAAGTGACGTCCATACAATTCAAAAAACTCTATTAAAAGAACACCATAGTTGGCATTGGGCATACAGGCATCTTCCCTGGGATGCAGCTATTAAGAAGAGAGAAAAAAAAAATCATTTTCTTAAGACTTCAGGTTTCAAGTGCCTTTATGTGTCTTCTCTTTTTCACAGCAAACATGTCTAAATGCAGTAATAAAAAATAATAAAACATAATATATAAAGCTAATATGTCTAAATATAGTATTTTCTCTTGATAAAGCAGTTTTGCATCTTTAAATCAAGATGCTATAAAAACTTTTATAAACTAATTACCTCTTAAAAAAAAAAGGCTGTCAAGCATTAACATTTTTGTATTTGAACTTTCAGTCCAGTAAAAGTGAACTTCCAGCACTAATGGCAGAGTTCTTGTGAAAAAGCAAAGATATGTGCACCTCACAAACCTGGGTCTGCAATACAAATACAGGCTTCTCATGTGCACAGCTATACCCATGGTTCCCTCTGCTGTTGAAGTATGCAGCCTGAGAAACTATGAACAAAACCAGCTCCTAGTTTTAACATAATAGAAAATATAATTTCTTTTCTTTTCCTTCTTGCAGGAGCAAATGGAAGTACTATTAGTCAATAAAACCCCAGAAAAACTGGGGTTGGGAGATTTCAGTTTCTCTTAAAAAGATATGTCTGTTGCCTTAATTTCATTTGTGCTCAGCAGGCAACTGCAACAGCATTAGGCAAACGCTGAGCTCCAGTTCCAGGCTCAGGTTTAAAAGTAACTACAATCTGGAAAAGTACAGACTTACACTTACAGAGCCATAGTTATACAGTTACATTTAGTTCAGGAAGAAGAATGAGGCTGATAGAGCCAGAAATCACTACTTCGTATTTCTACAGTATTTTCTTCCCCCAGGCACAACAATATAGATTTAGCTCATGCATTTTGCCCTATTAGATTCAAGAGAAAGTTGTAAAACACATTTAGAAACCTAGACAAACAACCACAATTCCATTGCATTCATTAAAGCACGTACAGGGCACATGACCTGGAAATCAAGTGTTACAAAGGACAGCTGCAGGCTACACCAACCTTATGGAGCTTTTTCCAAATAAGTTACACAACATTCAATTTGGTTTAGGATGAATGTCAAGATCATAGGTATCAATATTGTATGTCAGTATCGTGTATCAGTGCCTGGCACTGATACACCAACAGATGTTCTAAACATCTTTCAGACCAAAAGTAAGAAAGAACAGCAGATAGGTGGGATGTATCTATTGTTAAATGAAAAGGAGGTGCAAAACCACAAACATGATAGTTTAAATGATTCAATTTAAGGGTTGATCAAATTTCTTCTGCAGGTGTTGTCCTTATGCCCCAGTGGCAGCCCCAGATTCCATGGAGCTTACCTGAAGGAAACTCACAGCCATTAAAAAAAGACTATAAGAACCGATTCCACCTGTAAATACTTCATTGAGGTCCCTCTGCAACAGGAACTGTTTCAATACTAACACTAGAAATGGTAATACAGGATATTTCTGAAAGAGAAAAACAAAGATGTTATGACACTGTGGTGCATGAATACAATGGATGCTAAGAGAGCATATTGAAACTATCTGTTATATTCAGCCTTACAGCCATGTACAATTCTAAGCTATTATTTTTAGTAACAGGGGAGACGCCAAGTGCTCTGCCTGTGATCAATACAGTTATTTACCTCTTCAACTCTGGTGGCAGATATTAACAACAGAAAAAAGATCATAAAGTAAGAATGATTTGGTTTGAATACATAAATACACTTGCTTTTCTCCTACAAATGAAAAGGATTGTAAAGGAAGAACTATGGAGATATCCACATCTGTAACAGAATCTTCCTGCTATGACTGTGGTGATAGACCAAAATGGGCTGAGATTTCTGTCCTGCAAGTACTTCAGATGCCTGGAGTTACAAAAAGCCCTTCAAAATTACTTAACTCAGATAACATTTTCAAAGGAGCCAAATACTTACCTTTGGATACCCGGTCCTTGGATAGGTTTATCCACATGGATTCCCTTAGAGGTGTGCATACTCTGCACATGCAGAGAACATGGACCCTTTGGACAGCAGTGGAGGCTATGCCTGCACTCTGTACACCCCCTCACAGGGGAGAGGCAAAAGAGGCTCAATAATATCACTTTTATGAACACAGAGCCAAAAAGTTCCTTAGTGTCAGAAATGAAATGTGGATCATGATGTCTGTGATTGCAGAAGATTACAGGGAAAGAAGAATTTTGCTAAGAACTTCTCTGCATGAGTCTTATGGTGAGTGTTGGGAGCCTTATTTAACTGAAGATCCCCAAATCCTTTTTTTGAACTATTAAGAACTTACAAGCTGAAGTGTTGAATAAGAGTGTGTACCAAAATTCAAAGACAGGATTGTTCTCAGGAAACTGAATACTCAAAGATAAATAGGCATTTTGAAGGCAAATACTGAATATGACACCTCAGTTAGACTCTGAAAGTCATGTGGGACAAAATAAGACCCATGAGAATGCCCTGCACATGTTTTATGGAGAGTGCCTCAAGAACACCAGTGAAATCCCGTGGCAAGTACACGTCAGGATTTCTCCAAGTTAAACAAAGGACCCCCCACAGCAGCCATGTGCCACCTCCCCGCCACACCAGGCTCAGCTCAAGGCCAGTTCTGGGGTGGCACAGCTGCTCAGCCTTGGCTCAGGCTGCTGTGAAAACAGTTGTGTGGGAAAGCACCGTGTGGGAAGCCTTGTTGGGAGTCCCTCCACTTTGCTGGAGAGCTGCCTCCCATCTCAGTGGTTCCCCATGCTGTCTGCCTGAGCCGCTGCTCCGCACTGGTGCTGATCCTGACCCTAAATCCTGACCCTACCCATGGACTAGGCATCCTCAGCCTCGACATCCTCACTGGGGAGTTGTCTCTCAGGCACTGGCCAGGCTGTGAGCTTACCCCAAGTACTGTCACCAAACCTGCTCAGCAATTTGGGCTCTGTCCCACACCTGCCCAGCTGCCACAGACAGCTCCCACTCATTCCCTAAGGCACAGCCCCCTCTCGTCATGCCCTGACCCAAGGCCAAAGGGTTACAAATAACCCAGGCAACAGGAACACACTAATGCCTTTTTCTTTTTTCAAACACATAAAATGCCTTCAGGCTCTCATGAGAAGACTATCTCCTACTTTCAAATTCAGAAGCAAATAGGCAATTTTGGGAAAGTATGCAGGGCTTTATGGACATGGTTGAAAATAAAACTTGTATGTGGAGTGTAACAGAAATACAGTCCCTGCCTTGTGGCAGAAAACCAAACACGGACAGCCTGTCCCCCACGAGGCAACGTGACAGCGTAAAAACTGAAGTCAGCTACCAAATTTCAGGTACCTCTGCTACAACAGAGATTCTGGGCACCTTCTTTCCCCAACAAGGAGCTACACAATACAACTTCTGTTCATCAGACTGAGGCTGAGAGACGAAAGGTCTCTGAACCCACCCCACCCTCTGACTCTGAGCGTGGGTGCAAGAGGCCTCACCAGCAGGGGCTCAAGCAGAAGATTCATAGACACGCAGAGGTGAGACTATGCAGAGAGGAAGGCAGATGATTCTACTAAATTTAAGGACAGAGATTTTTCTCCTGTGTCCTTCTACAGGTTAAAGAAACAGACATTGCACAAGCAAACTGAGCTACTTTCATACTTGCTACTAAATGCACATAAAGGAATTGAAGACTATCAAGTTGAATGCCATATGTTCCAACTCGTCAGCAATTAAAAATCTCCCCAAATTTAGAAGACTCAATGACATTATTAAAGCAGATGTATGTGATTTCTAACCTTTATGACTGAAAATAAAGTGCTTGCTTTATTCAGATTTATGGAGTTTTCTGAAGTATTACTTATCTAGCTTCCAAAATATTTTTGATTCTCCTGCTGTCCAGTAGTTTGGTTAAAGTAAAAAAATAGTCAGTAATAGAACAGTAATACCTAAGCACTTCAGTGAGACAACTGCACTTCAACTTCCCTAAACAGAATATGAAAATCCAAGAAAAATTATCTACTGCTTTTATGAAATATTTACTGTGAGTGCCCAATGCACTGTATAGGGGAAGGGAAGAAAAGGAAAATAGTGTAATGATACTTCAAAACTTTAAATACAAAAGCACATTAATCCTAACAAAATGATCCTATATATTAAACAAAAATAACTGTAATGTACCTATTATACATGTACTACTGAATCTCTGAACACTAATTTAACTTATTCTATACATTAGCATTGTATGCCGAAACAATATTCAGTCCAGAACAAGATGATTCTTACTTCCTCAGAAATGTGTGGTTATTACTAATTTTAAGTTCAATGAACTTAAGAGCAGAACATTAAAAGAGCAGAACATTTAAGACAGAGATTTTTGCATTTTCCTTAATCATTGTACCATTAAGGCCACTCCATACTTTCTTTGTATATTTTAATATCATCATGCCTTTTAAGGCAATATGCCTAAAACTGCAGAACATCCCTCAGTAGTATCAGACAACAAAAAATAACAGAGTGAAAGTGTATCTCTAGTAAGGGTGCTGTCACAGTAAAACAAGAAATAAAGTTAAGTTATCAAATAGTCAACTCTGTAGTTCTATTATAGTGTTGCCTAACCTTGATAAAATCTTTGATGAGCTGGGCTGCTTTAACTCCGTTCTGTACATTAAAGCTTATATCAACTTTTACTTCAGTGAAGGAATCTGTCAGTTTAATAATAGGTACCTGCAAAAAAAAAGACAGGTTAAGTCAATACAGAGTTCCAAGACACATTTGGTTTCATTTATTCTTAAATGCACCAGTAAAACTGAAATGGTTTATGAATTTGTAGAGAGGAAGTAGGCAGAGAAATCATTACTCCTGTTTATGAACTCACTCTCCTTGCCAATCTGTTTCCTTAAACTTTACTTTTCTAACTCATGAACACTATTTTCAATTTATTGTTCTGTTGAACAGAACACTTCACCTTCCATAATAAATTTTTGATTCGTTTGGGTCAGCAGCTGGTGCAGCAGCTCAGCTCTGGTGGGAACCACAGACACCAGGGGGAGACAAACTCTGAAGAAACACAGAGAAATGGTACCAGAGACTCCAGAACTGACACAACTCGTGTCACACTCCCTCACCAAAACTGATTCAAACAATAAGCACAGAATACTGAGAGCATTCTGATGTATTGCCACCTGAGTGGTTGCCAAATTACCTTTCTCTACTAATAATAGCTATGAATTAGACACCTGGTAAAACCCCAACACTCTTACATACTCTCAAAATTAGCAAAAGGTAGGAAATTATAACAATTAATCCTATTCTGTGCATGACATACCATTACCTCTTTATGCAAGACTGTACATACTATTTTTATGTGAAAATTTATTTTGCCTGCTTACTTGCAAAAAGAAAAAATAAATAATTTACTTATGTAAAAACTCAGTCAGAAATTCATAACATTTAATCACATAAATTCACAACAATGACTAGTCTAATCTCTCTTAAAAGCAAGTCTATGTTGTGCATATGGGATACCAGATGATTTCCCCAACAGAAGAAATACTTGTTATTGCACTATCAATTATTTTTTCTGTAGTAAAAACCTTACTTAAAAAAGTTATATTGGTTCTATTTCAAATTTAAATTAAAAAACATAGTTTCTTCTTATAAAAATTCATTCTCTTCCCAAAGATCTATCTTTGATTTGAAATTTAGCTTCTAACAAGGAAATACCCTCTTCCCCCAAACTTACAGTTGCTTTATCTAAAACCTTTACTGAGTTTTCATCTGCTACATTGTGCTTTCTAAGAGCTTCTTCCAGGGTCCAAAGCGGTAATGCCTCCCATTTTCCAAACACAACTAAATCAATATCACTGAAATGGGAAAAAAAAAATTATTCAAATTAAAAGACCAATACAGTTAAAATATAAACAATTGACATCTATACATCCCTAGAATAAAGCTGACAGAATGTAGCTTAACCCAATAATTAATTCATAATTTTCTGAGGAAATGGGTGGGGATGAACTTTTACACTTGGGGAAATACAGAATATTACAGGTTACCAAGGGGAGGGGACAGATACACACACAAATCAATTGGGCTGAAAAGCCTAGGATTAGTCTCCTCAGGCCACGCTGTGAGTAGAGAGGGATCAACTTCTCCAAAGTAATTCAGAGCAAGAAATGAACTTGTGAATCACCATCCCTGGGCTGTATTAACCAGTAATGCCAATTTAACAATCTGTCACTGAAAGGGCAAGTCCTGTTCCCCATCCTCTACTCCAAGATGCACAGCCCTGTCTCCTTTGCTCTACGTCTGATGGTTGTCTAAGCCACAGCAAATCAGTTCAATCTATCAATGGGTCAGGCAGAAACCTTCTTCATCCCCTCTTAATGAGCCCCCAAAACATTCTGAGGTAATTTCCTGCCTCTTTGCATCTCAGAGTTGTTTTTCTGGATGATCAGAGCACCAATGGGCACATGGCAAGCAGCTGTCCTGTAGTGCCAAGAACAGGGAGCAGGGAAAGGAAAACGTGGTGACTTTGACTTCGGGAAGCAACAAGTTGTTAAATAAAAACAAACCACCTAATTAATTTCACTCATTAACTCAGCTCCTCAAAGAGGTGTCTCCATCCCACTACACTTCCTCCCTATGCACACACATTCATTTGACTACACCCTAATTCAGTCCCTGAACCCAAACTCAAAAGGTGGTTGGTATCCCAGTCAAAGCCCATGAGGGCTACTGTGAGATCCTGAGCTTTTTCCTCTTTGCTCCCCTATTTCTTTTATTTCCCTGCTTGGTTTGGAACACAAAGGAGGTGAGCATGTAAACCTATGGTTATGCCAGCAGGACACTTCAGTGATACAGAAAACTGCATTACAGAAAACATAAAAATATTCAGGAATGCTTCCTCCCCCCCAGAGATTCTACAGGTCTGCTGATTCACAAACAACACTGCTTTAACCATCTCAAAGAAACTACATTGGCAAGCTCTTGCCAACAAGCAGTGCCGGCAGCAGTTCAGCCACAGACCATCTGTCTGACAAGGACAGCTTTCAGAAAACTATGTTCAAAACTAGCTTGGAGAGCAGGAAATGCTGCTGGACATTTCTCTTCTAATCTAAATTAGTGTTAAACCCACTGCTGGACAGTTAATAACAGGAGGCCTTTTTCTGATGCACACCAAAACAGAAAAAGCAGCTCTGTTGCCACCCTGAGTATAGATACTGCCTGCAAAAGAACACAGATCCAGCAGCTAAACAACTGCATGCACAAACCTTCAACATGAGCTTAAGTAAATGGATATAAGGCAAATTCTTGCACAGAGAAACAGGATTAAAAAACCACTGTAGGTCTTCCTGAATCCCAGAGCCTGAAATCTAAACTAACTATACAGTTACTGACAGGTCGGGAAAACCCAGGGAGAAGAGAAGTTTTGATAGAAGGCAACAGTGAATTAATGACCAACACAAATGCAGGTTATTTTGAAAGTCTGGCAAGCACCGCCACAGGAATGTGTTTTTGTGGGTTTATGTACTGTTTGAAGTATCTGCATTTGTTCTTCCCAAGCAACCTCAGCTGAAACAAACACTGAAGCAAGGCAGTATATGAAATTAAACAGACAAAAGTGAAGCATTTTTGTTACATGAGTTTCAAAACAATCAAGCGCAGTAAAAAACCCATCAGATAAGTGGATAGGAGTATCTCTCTTGCATTACCAGCATCAAATCAAATTTAATTAAGCCTATGTAAAATCAATGAACAAAAAAGGCCAAGAATGAGGGCAAATGTGAAAACAGTGAGTATTTGTACACCTAACTTCTGGCTTTTCAAACAGACACTGAGCAATTCAACTTCCCTGCAACTCCTGAGACCAAAGCAGGTGCTAAACCATCTCTCAGGTCCTTTCTTTAACAAAAAGAGATGAAATGACAACCAGGGTATCCATCGCCTGCAGTCAGTATTAGATGTCCTCACATTCCTGAAGTAGGAACTCGTTCAAGTATTATCCTCAAAATTACGCTATTTAAATGTGTTTGTACCCTGCAGCCATTTAAGCCTTTCATTTCTATTTCTCTTTAATTGTTAAAAATACTTACTATTTCTACACAGAAGATACTATTGTCCCTGAGTAGTGATTTTTCTTTATGAAAATTAGTAACACATTTGGAAAAGGTAGGTGTTGACTATCGTACAGATTTCACAAAAGAAGACTGAAAGGAAAAAGCCAATTCTGCATGTAATCTTTTCTCTTCAGTGCTAACACTAACAAGGTAATGTTAAAGGTTTCAACGTAGCTATCTGTGGAGATAAAATTTAGCTTTTCTTTTAAAGCCAATCTGTTCTTTTGTTATTAATGAAGCCAAATCACAACATAAGCCTTTTCTGACCACGTGGTAATTCAGATCCTTTTCCTGATACATGCAAAATCTAAATAGTTGTGTTATAGTTAATATTATTTACTGTATTCCTTTACACTTCGCAGAAAACTAATATCTTAACACTTTCTTAATGTAACAAGTATCAACACATGTAACACAGACACAAGGAGAGCAGATAAATCACCCCAGGGGTACAGTTTCAACAAGTCATCTTTTCTCTTGTACAGAATTTACACTGAAAAATTACTAACCTTGTAGGCAAATATAAACCAGTTTTAAAACTTCCAAATATCTGCACCTGAAACACAATAAAAGGATATATATGAAAACAAATTTTCAGGTTTCAGAAGACAAACAAGTTCTATGAAGCTGCTTGTAAAGGCTGGCTATTGCTACCCTCCATTGGTAGGTTTTGGTATTGCTGACAGGCACTTAGAACACTCCCGTTAAAGTATTCATATCTTCAGTGTATCACAAACGGCTGATCTCCATTGTTATTACCCATGAAACCCTAATAACTTTGACTTTTCTATTAAAAAAACTCCTTTATAATGTAAAAAATTGTCCTCATGACTGAATTTGGCAAAAACCCAGAACCCACAAGATTTCAAAACACTTAAGGATGACAGAACATTTTAAAAAAACAGCAACAGTTCAATTCGGTTTTTGCTTTCATATCTCAAAGGATACCCTTCTGTTTTTAAGTATTTTCTAAGTTTAAGTCTGATATATTTCCATTGAAAAAAAATTAATTATATCACAAGCCTTTTTTTTTCTGAGTTACAAAGCAAGTAGCATAACTCTGTTTATTTCTGCTTAAGCAACAAACAGTTTTGTAAAGCTTCACGTCCCAAAGAATTACTTTATTATGCTGGATTTTTACTATCACTGGAGGTGTAAATCATCAGGTTTTCACTGTAAGCTGTCCAAAAGCTCACTCTCATTACTTAGTCAAGCCTTGCAGGAGGTCGGACTCATGCGCTGAGTCTCAAAGAGGGGGCTGCTGAGACTTCAAAGTAAAAATATCTACACATTTGGACTAATTTTCAACCAGACAGTCTTCTGATGTGTTTCCTGGAGCCACCTTATACAGACTTGAGTATTCTGCCTTAATGAGTCTCATACACTAGCTTGATTGCCACCTATTTGGATGTCAAGTGACCCACTTTTTATGTTTTTCCCCTTCAGGATAAGAAAAAGAGGGAGACAGGAAGAGATGATGTTTTGCAAGCGTCTTAATACTTCAGTAGACTAAGAAGTAGTTGAGTGCTTCTTCTGTTTTTTTTAATCACTTCATTCTTTTTACCCCCTCATCCCACTCCCAATAAAAAGTACATACACAATTCAATTTTGAAAGTTCATAGCTTCTCAAACCAGCAAAGACTGCAAGAGATGCCACAGAACGAGCATCAATATTGTACTAGATCTTAACAAAAGCATAAGGGCATCACAAAGCTAAGACTAATAATAATTATCACTATTTTTAATCCAGAATAATAATAAAAGCACCCCCTATGAAACAGGGTTCAGTCAAACCAGGATTTATTTGGCCACCAAAAACATCAGAAAATTGCTTTTGCACAATAAAATGACCACTGGTGGGTTCAGAAAAAACTAAATGTGCTTTCACATTATCAAACAAAACAGTGTGTTCAGCTGAACAGCAAAGAGAGCCTTTACTGAATAAACAACCCTGAAAGTATTCATAAACTTACTGATACAACATATATGACCTTTACTGAAAGGAATGAGACAACATCTGCTCTTGTACAATAATTCAGAGTATGAGAAACACTGAACAATTCTAAAAGAAACCCACACCCACACTTCAACCTCTCTCTCTCACAAAATCTGTAAAGATAAAAGAGGAAGAATGGGGAAATCAGAACACAGATTATAAAGGATTTTGATTTATTATCAATTTGGAATTTAAACTGTTGAAGCTCTGTAGCCATGCAGGCATTTAAGGTATCCCAAATACAGGACTCTATTATGGCTTGAGATGTGAGCATTAGTTTTTGTGGTGTGCCAACACTGCTGATCATATTTTTATTCTACATGGACAGAGATATGGATGTGCACTCATAAGGTAACTTCACACTTCACAGTACTGCAATGACTCCTCCATGTTATTGTTACTATTTCTCCCACATTTCTGCGAACTTGTTCATATTAAATTCCAAAGTTCCCAAGGAGCTTTAATTACAGTATGTGCCCAAAGTGCTCACTATGCACAACAGAACTCAGAAACCCACAAAAGTTTGGTAAATCCTTGTTACCAAAATACCTCTGTCAAAACACCATAGCCAATTTAATTTCCCTTCCTTCTACGTCATTAAGTAGAATTTCTGAGGTTTGTTGAACTAAACAGAGTTCATCTTCCTGCTTTCATTCCATCATAGTATTTTCATAACTGAAGTGCATGAAGTATGTAACATTACCTCTTTTCAGATCTATGAGGTCACACAGACATGAAGCTGAGGACACTCTAGCAAATATATCCTAAATTCCACTGTGTAAGTATTTATTTGTTCAACAGTCAAATTTGCATATTCAACTGGTCAAAAATCTTTGTCTTAAAATGTTTTCATTTAATGTTTTGGGATGTTTGGTTTCAGTGTAATTAAAGCGTTTCTTATGGTCAGAGCCTTGCTGATGCCAAGAACAGTTCTCACTTACTAGGAATGTTTCCTTCTAAGCACATTCCCTTGAGTAAGAGAGCAAATGACACAATTGCTAACTTCTATAAATAAAGTTACAGTTTAGGGTACCTAGTTTTACCCCCCTCCATCTGCTTTTTCAGCCTTTTCCTAAGTGGAACAGGAGAGGGGAAAAAAAAAAAGTACGTGCTCAGGTACATTCCACATGTTCTCTGTGGAAGCCTGATTTCCCTTTTCTTGGTATCTGATTTTTAAAGACTACGTCTTACCTATGTGTTTAGTGAGAAACTACAAACTAAATGGGTATGTTTAACTTACAAGTTTATTTTAGCTGGTTTGGCTGCATCTAGGACTCAAAATGAACAGCTTAAACATTAACTCATCACTTTACACTACAGCTAAGGCTGAGGACATTGAACCAGATAACACTCCACCTTCTCAGAGCATGTACTCAAAACCTGAATCTTAGAAGTAGCTAAACCAACAGAGATTACCAAAAGGTTAGTGATTAACCCAAAGGACTGAAAAATTACAACAAGAGACTGTCAAAGTTGAACACAGTTGAGTTCAGCAGTTCAGTTCCCAAGCTGATCTGATAAAGTAAGTGTTAGAAAAATAACAGCACAGTAACTTACAAATCATAACCCGGCAGTCTGTTGTCACTGTTCAGTTCCCTTCTAGCCTCCAGAAAATGGAAGGACACACAAAAGGAGAATTCCTCCTCAACATAACTGCAGACAAGTGCAGTTGGGCTTTGAAGAACAGTTACTGACTTGAGAAAACAGGAACTGGCACACTCTCACTCTCTAACATTTTCAAGCACAGCAGAGAAAGACAGTCCTGGCAGTTTTAACTGGCACTAAATGAAAAATGAACTTCAGTTTTCAACTACACAGTGTGTGCTTCCTCTCGGTCACATTACAGCTCAGCCCAGTGGTCAGCTGTGTCCTGTGGTAAGGCTTGTAAACTGTTTCCCCTTCTTAAATACATTGTGGCAACACAAATGTTTCAGTAGCTTAAAGAAAAACTATTTTCTCAAGGCCCCAAATACATATATATATATATAGGCACACACATATATATGTAAAAAATTATTTTTAATACAAAAGACTTAACTTTGACAGACCAAGCTTGTCCTACAAACGGAGTATCTCTGTAAGCACTAAGTCTTGGGCCTCATTCAAAGTGCAGGCGGTAACAAAGAGAGATCCCCTGGAATAAATCCACACACCCCACTGCACTAGTTAAGTCTGCGGCACACAGACTTGCCTAGGAAATAGGAAATCTTCTCTAGGCTGAAGCAGCCAGTGATTTTGGTGAAATCCCTTCCTACAAGGCACTAGAAGGGTGTATCACAGCATGCAGTTTCATACCCACACTGTTTCCTAGACTATGGTCTGTCAGACTGGCAGCCCACTGCTCCTAGTCTTGATTAGGGTCTGCCTCACTGTTTCACTGGTTAAGGAGAGCTGTACAACACCTATGACACGTGCTAAAGTCTCTTACACAGTTTCCATGGAAAGCTTACTGATTGTGCTCAAAATTCCCAGATACAGGAAGTAATCCCTCCACCAATTCCCTCTAACTGTGCAAAGGCAGCTATCACTGAGCGGAGAGTGCTCCTTCCATATGATACCTTACTGACACATTGTAACAACAAACACCTTGACAATGGGAGTACATTTTACACACAAAACCACACACCACATACATAGGGCTTATACAGAATTCATATTCTGTCATATTCTGCCAATTTCTAGAAACACATTCCAAAAAAACAGGTTAAGAAGACTTGAAATGAACTGGGGATTTAAGTCACTCATGTCAAAATATTATCTTTTACTGTAGCAGGATCAAAGAGCATTCCTTATACTAGAGATTCTGCTGTCTGAATTTGGTTTGCTAGTCTGGCTCACAAGCCCTTATTTTCAGCTACTGTTATCTACAAATAGATGAACACAGCTACAAATCTGCATTCTGGAAATGAACACTGTATTAGTTAGAGGAATACAATTAAACTAGATTCAATTATGCCAGAAATCCAACTGTGTCCCCATAAAATCATATTGACTTGTAAAAGCAACTTCTCTGTCTTCTCTTTAATCCAACCTTAGCGAAAAATGCTTAGCTCTGCACAGGAGAAACACTTGTTTCAAATGAGCAAGTACTACCAGAACCCATCTTCAGTGGGAAGAGGTGTTACAGATTGTAAGCTCAGTACACAGATCCACAGATTTGTTTCTTCCTACACAGAAACTCCTGGCTTTTTTAAATTTGTAAGATATGCAAATTTAATTTAACTGTCCATTAAATATACCATGGTCTATGTAATGGGGCATTTCTGGTATTCCACTTTAACAGATTTATTTAAGACTGCAGGCAGGGTCTTTGGACTAGAAGCCCTGCTACTAGTGAAGACAGGAGTTTCAGAAGATTTTTTTTTAAAATAAAATGCATGCATGCATGCCTGATATGTTCCCATTAATCTTAGTAAATAAATATTCATGAGACAGAATGCTGCCACACCTTATGCCCTTTTTGTGACTACAGCAGGACTAACTTGTCTTTGGTCCTAAGTGTGATAGAAAATGTTAACCTGTATTATTCTAGAAAGAAAGATCAGCGCTCTCATTTGACCAGAAGTCTTTTTGTGGTTTGTGGTTTTCTTAACATGGAAAAATAAACTGTATTTTCAGTATTCAATATTTCATGAAGTAAACAGGCACAAAACGTTGCTTTTATAAATTAACAAATAAAACAGTGTCCTACTCACATCTGCATTAGGCCAGAGCTCTTTGATAACGTTTTCTATTCTGGTCACCACTTCCATCCGCATTCTTTCTTCTTCAGGTCTGGGAGACATATACTTATAAAAGTCAATGATTTCCTCATGAAGACTAAGAAAGAAAAGAAAAAAAAGAACAAAAAGTCAGGAAAAAACCCACAGGCGAATGAAATACCAACTACTCTAATCAAATATGCTTTTTAAGCTCCTAGTACCCAATTTCCTCAAGGGGCAGTTTTAGAGCAGCATGCAATTAAAAAAAAAAAATCCACATTCACAACACTTCTTAGTGTTTCGTTTCACGTTAGCTTCTCATACCAACAGGTCAATACTGCACTTCATTTGCTAAAAGCGTGGAAGCAAATCTAAATCCAAGTGCCTCCAATTCACATTGAAAGTCACACTCTATTTTAATGCCAGTGTAACACAGAAATGGTTCAGTCCTCAACTGCGACTGCAGCTGTAAGCTCTGAGTACACACTTCACAGAAATTTAAACAGGAGGTTTTTAGCCAACACTTCCTAGTCAGCCCCTTGGCACCAGCCAGGGAGTTTCAGGCAGCAGTCTGTATTCAGCACCACACTTGCAAAAGTTGTCAGTAATTGTGCCAGTACCAGAGCTAGAAAAACTGCTTCTTTATCTGCTCGCAGAACTCACATAAACTAAAAATGCACTCTCCCTCCATAACCCCAGAAAATAAGTAGTACACATGCAGCAGTGGTGGCTCAGAAGAATAAGTGACTGACAGACAGTTAACACATATATAGTTTACTCTATTACATGTGCTTCTCACAGTCAGTAAGTTATGTTTAGCTTGCCTATGATGAGAACTAAAATAAAAATGTCTTCATACAGTGCTACAAATTTCTGTGCTCCTGTAGTACCATAAACACATCATCATCTTGACAAATAACGTAATTCCAGTCACAGGGTAACTACATTAATTTCATTTGTTTCTTGCAATGACCACTACAGTAATAGCTAGCTATCTTTAAAAACGTGCTGTTTCTAGTTACCAAGTACAACTGCATCTCTCACCAAAGCTCCGAGGGACCATCAGAAGAGATCCATTTATTAAGAGCAGGCTAAGACAGGGAATCTAATACTTCCCCACTGCACACACACCTAAATAAATGAAACAATAATAACTGAAGTTGTATACAGGTGTCAACAAAACTGATTAAAAAATCTGATAGTTGTATTTAACAGAGTCAGGGTAGGGAAAGAACTCAAACCACCCGCATTAAGTTCTTCAATACTGCAGAGTTATGAACAACACAAACTTCTCTCCCCACAAACACCCTTCCCAGTTAGGGGAATAGTCACAAAAGCCTGGCAACTTGTGGTGGCCACCATGACAGCTCTGTATAGACAATGCAAAGAGAAAAACTCCTCTGACAGAGGAAATTTCTTACCTCCTTCCACAGCTGCTTTCTTGCTTTTCCTTGGAAACTTATACCCCAGAGTTAACGTGCACACTCCAAACCACCACTGCAATCCCTTACACCACACTGACTACTCTGCCTTCAGCTTTTCAGACATCTCCTGTTCTTCTACTCTTCACTGCTATTCCACATGTTGGCACTTAAACTTTCTTACAGCTATTTTCCCAGTGCAAGTACTGGATTCAGGTGAGAAGCACATGATAAAGGACAACTTGAGCACTCCGATGACCAAGTTCACTCTCTGTCCTCACTGCCAGTCACACGTACTGAATTCGATTTAGTTTCCACATGCTTGACCATTAAGCTAGCATTCAAAACCATAAGCAACAAGGAAAGCAGTCAAAAAACCAATAATTAAACTCTTGAAAATACAAATTATTTTTCAACTGAAATTTGGAGAACCAGCTTACAGGAAGACCTGGGAGTTAGATCTGTCTTTTTGGGCTACACAACAGGGAACTGATCAAGAAACACAGCCCCACTTCTGCCTCTTCTCCTCTGGACTAGCTGGAAAGACTGGTTACATCCACAAGGCACATGATTTGCCCCTGAGCAGTGTTTTTAGTAAGGACTGAATGCACATGTGCACTGAGACATGAGGAGTGACACCGTGTTCTCTGAGGGCACTGAATGGCACGAGACATGCTGGGATGATACCAAGGGACTATCCCTGGGGAGAAATTCATGTATGGCACAGCACAAATCCATACTGCCCGTCATTAGTGGGCCCAGCTGCTCTTAGGCTTCTGCTTTACAAGAGTTAATTGCTCCCCTGTCCCATCAGGGAACTTGGAAAGAACAAGGCAATCAGAAATGAGGTCCCCGAAGTGCAAAGAGAGCCAAGCCATACAGACACTGCAGTTCTCAGGGTACTTCTCCTTATTAACTCCACTGACAGTCTTAATAGAGACAGTTTTATCCTTTGGTGCACTCTTAAGAGGGACATAAAGTAATGTATTGTCAGAACCAGATGTATTTCTTTTTCTAAACATAAATAACAGACATCTGCACCTCTTCAAATGGGATCCTTCTTATTCTCAGGTAGTCATGAAAAGCTCTGTGGGAAAACAAATCAAGCTACATGCAAACACACAGTAACATATTACACATGCACAGAATGTTACTAAACATGGCAGATGTAGAAAAAACGAAATCTGAACTTTTTCAATGATAGAAGAAAGGCTTAAAGACTACTGGAGACAGTTCCCATCAGCACACCAGTTGGAAACAGTACAGATACATCTACGTTTCATCTGCTGCAGGACTGCATGCTGACAGGACTGCCTGTGCTGCACAGAGCCTCGCTATGCAGGAGGCAGGCAGAGGCTACAGAGGCTCAACACTACACCTGGAACAGTATTTCCCTGCCCTACAACAGCTGCTGCCAAGAAATAAGGGAATGATTAATTAAAGCCAAGACAAACAGAAGTAGCCACACACGGATTTCAGAGCAGTACAACATGACTTAGAGGCGTGACTCCAATTAATGTGGAGTTAACTCAAGCTGTATTGAAAATTAAAACTCAAGGTTATTCACTGTCTTAACATCTATTATAGTTGCTGTTTTCCAAAACAATTTGTTTGGATTAATGGAGTCTGTTTACAAAAGTCTCTAGTGAAATTTTCTATCTTTAGCAGAAATGAAGATCAAAGAGACCGAGATGTTCTTTTTGGCATCATAACAGTATTTTATTATTTAATTATTTAATACCATTACATTCATTAGCTATTTCAGATAAAAGTCCTCAAAAGGAAACTTGTTTTTAGAAGGAAATTACACTGTAATAAACCTGACTTCACTATGAAAAGGTATTTCATTTGGCTTATTAGTCACACTGAAGCACACCAGCATCCAAGACCTACCTGGGATGCATGGAGAGAGTTCTTTGTAATGCATAAGAGAATTAGTTCACTTTTTTTATTACAGTAAATAGCAGTAAACAACTGGGTCTTTGTCCTGTACTTACTGAAATCTTAATACATGGGGAAAAGAAAAATAAAATTGGCTCTTAGACTTTTTCTATCTTTAAAACAAAGTTCTACCTGAATCACAGCCTGTTTTCAAGCCTGGTAAGCTGATTCCATCAGAAATTCACAGACTGAATAGAATTATAGAGAACAGAAGCCACTCAATTTAGTGGATTATAGTGTCTGTTATGTTCACCTGACAGTGATGCATCATTAAAAACTAAATGATGGCTGCAAAAGTTGTAATCACGAGAATGACTTCTGGTAGCAACAACACTGAATAGCCCCATGAGGAACACAAGACTGTGTGGGAGACTTTCATTTAGGTGAAAAGCCACAGCTTTTGTGCAGGTGCAAGTATTGTGGAACATCATACTTTCTTAGTTTGATCATGCCTTACTTTACTTTGTAGCACAACTTGTGGACTCCAAATGTGCAACTCGGGAATCTCAAACTAGTTTACATATGTCCAAGACGTGGTTATTCTGGAGGAGGAATCTCACTGCACAACTGCCAATCAATTAAAAATAATCACGTACAAACAAAATGTCATTTCTGTTTCATATGCAGAGCACACAGAGAGATAATGTGGACAAGAACATACACTTTATTGTACACTTCAGCCACCTGACACAGAAACCAGCATAACTCTCTCCTGCTGCAAGTCCAGGACTGAAACCAAGAGTGACACCGGGAGGCACGTCACTCTGTGAAACTCAGCTGGAGGTACTCCAAGTTTCACTTCCCTGCACGAGGATCCTGATGCAGAGTAAATGACCAGCCCACCACACTCACTGATTTCAGCAGCTTGGAGGAAGCCTCCTGGCCGAACCAGGGCTCAGCAGCCACAGCAGGAGCTGCCCCAAGTGGGACCATTCCCTCAGCCACCCTGGGCAGCAGAGCCGAGTCCTGCCCAGCAGAGCAGCCAGTGAGATCAAGATGACTCTGACTGGTTTTGCTTAATCACAGGAGAGCAAGTAAGTGTTGCCTTTGTGTACTAACATGCCATGTTATACTAACAAGAATAATAAGTTTTAATTGAAAAATTTCCCGCTTTTGTCATTCTGCACTTGCGCTACACTCCTACTCTCCTCTGGCTCTTCTTCACTCTTCATTTCACAGGAGAAATTATGCAGGCATGCATGTTCTAATTTCTCTCATCAGGGCGTTACCCATGGCTTCTACTCCAACTGTTAAAAATTCTGCTCATCCGTCCCAAAGAGCTTCCTCTGCCTTGGGTGTATATATTCCTTTGCACAGGAAAGACTATCTGCAACATCAGTGAAGATAATTTAAAATAATGGATATCAACCATACTCAAAAAAAATCATCCAATGCTTGTGCAATACAATTTGGTTTTGGCAGGATTCTCTGAAAGAAGCTTTATTTTCAGAATGACGAAAATCCAAATTATTTAGAAACTCTGTGGATGGTGGGCAAAAGTAAGGAATGAACACATAGATGACTTTTGTCTTCCCAAACTCTATGCTTTGAGATGACTCACTTCTGATTTAAGAGTCTAATGATTTTATATCCACACTTGAAAGGGATATGCAACATACCCCTGCAGCACCAAACAAGCCTTTTGTCTCTGAGTTTTCTTTGAATTAATAATTTCAACAGGACAGCGTTTAATTGCCCCTATCACTTTAAGTCTCCTCTGGAAGAAAAGAAAATAAATCAAAGGCAACAAAGAGAA